AATAGCGTTTGTTCTGCTTTTGCACCGAAGAATGAACAGAAAAAACTGTTTTCGGTGCCTTTTTTCATTGTTTTCAGTGACGTCTAACCCCACTGAATATTTGAGGCATTCTGTACCAGAGCTCCTGCCGATCCACCCGACTCGATGACCCGGTCAAAGAGTTTGATCACTGGTCAATTCAGGTGACTAATGATATAAGAAGAAACAAATACACCATCTAAAGGAATTCTATCCTTTACTGAGTTTATTGCTCTGGTACAGAATGCCTCAAATATTCAGTGGGGTTAGACGTCACTGAAAACAATGAAAAAAGGCACCGAAAACAGTTTGTTCTGTTCATTCTTCGGTGCAAAAGCAGAACAAACGCTGTTCAAACCAGTCGTTTCGTCATTTGACTTTGACGAATCATTTCCGTGTCCAGTACTTTCTGTTGATCGTGTTTCTTTTTCTTTTTATTGTGAATAAAAATTGGATGCGTGCATGATAGGTCGTTTTTCGCACATTATCATCGTACTCTTCTGGATACTGAGAATCTGAAGCACAGCAACCTTATCTCAAGCCATATCTTTTTAAAAGACGTCTTTCTCTTGTTTATCAAAATTTAAGTTATACTCAATCATCATTATGTTAATCTGAACATGAGACAGCCATCACAAACATTTATTAGAAAAGTTCATATTTCCTGTCTCTCCAAAAACAAAAACTGTAACCGAGCCTCAATTAGCTGAAGCCCAGGCTTGAGCCTTACGGGTCTCATTGGCTCCGCCGCCACTGGTAATGTTACAGGTAGTCTTGACCTTGAATAATCGAACGAAGTATTAGATCAAGACATTGTGGAAAAAAATACTGACAGTGAGCGCTATGATTAATGATAGTGGTCAATTTTAACTAGTTTTCGATTTATTTGGAATCTATTCTTTTCTAACTTATACATTACTCTGTTTTATCAGAAAAAAGATTTAGTTACATATTCCTTCACTATCATATATAAGAATTTGTATATACAAAATTTCTAAACATTTTAAAATTAATTGTAGAACAAAAAATTAGTACTTGTTAGCAAAAAAGTATATTCATGTTATAAATGTGCTAATATACCAACGCTAACAGTGTTTGCTGGTGGCAAGTGTAAATTTTTAGCTGGGCCAGGAAATGAACTTTTCAAAACCGAGTAAACAATGAGTGGCCACCGTGTAAACCATGTTTTCCATCCTTTTTTATTAACCACTATTGTAGCATTTGGTATAAAAAATGTAATATTGGCTTCATTCGGAACGGGAATGCCACTGATTGAAGCAGCAAGTTGTAATATTTCTAATACATGAATTTTATTTTCACAATAACCTAAAACGATTACACACTTAATTAGATTTCATTTCCTGTTATAATAGCATTTGTATATACCAAAATGTGCTACAATATGATAAATCGTTTGATTCCCATAACTTTTAATTATTAAACGTTTCTCATCTGATAATATTGGTACGCTGACATGAGATATTTTTAAAAATATAATTACTTGTGGTATTGCATGTAGACGCTTTAGTAAATTTTCAAATACATGGGGAGTATAAGTCGATGATGTTGTTAAAAATACACCTATATTCGAAGAGAGAACGAACATGAAGATTTAGAGAATGGAATAAGCTAGATTATACCTAGACCAGGGGTAATCGATGCTGTTATGCCAGCATTATTGTGAAAATCAACTGTATTACCAACAGCTGTAATTGCAACATCTGTTACCAATGATACATGGCCATGCAAACTTGAATAATCTTCTGTTGATCTTTTATCATGATATCCGTCATAACTACTGGCTGAATCCGTATCGGAGTCTGGATAATGTTGATTAATACAAATTGTTGTTTTGCCATCCACTGTTGTAGGTATTAATTGTGAATCATTGCTTGATAATGCCGTTAGTCCAAATCGATAAGGAAGACGACAGAGAGTTGTTGTTTTAACATGGTGATGTAAATATCGACGAAGTTTACCTTGACCGTAATACCAACAAAAGCCAAAAGTGAACAAGATTAATGCAATGATTAAGGCCACCCAAGCACCTTCAGCAAATTTAACAA